CTTTGTTTCTTCATTTTAACGCATTTTAAAGTTTTTGGAAATCAAAAGTGTCCTATCACTTTTTAAAACACTGTTACGAGTTCTCTGAACAACTGTTATGAGTTCTCATAAATAAATCTCATTAGGTCTAGACTCAAAGCCAAAAAAAAAAAAAAAAAAAAAAAAAAAAAAAGTTTGGAAGGGCTCAGATTTTAGCTGGCTGCTCAAAAGAGCTTTTTAAAATTTAATAGGGTTATCGTATAGATGGCTCGGGTAGAAGACCGAAATATTTTATAGGATACTAAATGAATAGGCATTTAGACTAACTTAGAAACTAACATACACTGCCCTCCAAAAGTTAAGGAATAGCATGTTTTTGTGTCTGAGAATGAAGCAACACAGAAACAAGAAATTTACAGGGCATGTTCACTAACCAGTTCTTTAATGAATGCGATATAGACTATTTCTAATTGAATTATAACAAAAAATTGCACTCTTGGCAGAGAAATCCAGTCTTGGAGAAATATTATATCACAAAATTTGAGGAAAAATGGTGTGGTAGCATTACAAAAATGGGTTCTAATAAGGAATGTGTCCACGCCTAACTACAATACATTGGCGAGTTCCATGCTGTCAATTAAGTTGTCAGTCATTGAACCAGCAACAACCAGACACGGAGTAATCCTTGTTCAAGCTTATCTAACGATCTTGGATGAAGACTTAAAGCGGCAACCTGTCTCCCAAGGTAGTCCCAAAGATGCTCTATCGGATTAAGGTCTGGGGATTGAGCTCGCCTTTCCATCCGCTCCATACCGTGACCCTCAAGATATTCTTCAGCAAACCGAGCTTATCGTTCAACAGAAAACATCTAGGACCAATTAGCAGCGGCATATGGGCGGACAAGGATCAAGGATATCATCTAGATATCTCACACCGGTCAACGTTCTTCCATGGAACATATGAAGGTCAGTGTGACCACCCAGAGATACGAGCCCAAACCATTATTCCACCATCTCTGTAACGGTGTCTTTCCACAATGTGGGATTGGTTGTATCTGGTGCGTTGTTCCCTCCAGATCAGCTGACGACCTGAATCACTCTCCGTGAACCTGGACTCGTCTGTGAAGAGAACAGATGTCCATTGTTGACTGGTTCAGGATTCCCAACATAAAAGGGCACCTCTGTGACCTCGGGTCAAGGGGACACAAACAACTGGTCGTCTTGTATACAGACCTGCATTGTGCAGGCGTCTGCGCACTATAGTAGCTGAGATTCTACTTCCTGTTTCCACTAAATGATCTGCCCTGAGTTGAAGCACAGTAATGTTACTCCTCCTTCGGGCCGAAAGAGAAATAACGGTCTTGGGCAGGTGTTGTAACTCTAGGTCTGTCTGCAACATGTCCTTTAGACACAAAATCCTCAGATTCAAACTGATTCCATAGTCGGTGGATCACACTATGAGAGAAATTGAGACGTCTAGCATTATCAGCTTGTGACATCCCCATTTCCATCCATCCGATCTCCTGCCACCTCAAGAAATCGGGCAAAGGACTTCTCCTGGACATTGTTAAACTCTCCTGGATATTATTCACGAAACTGTAACAACAACTGAAGATCAACATTCGTGAACCAAAATTACAAATTTGCATTTTTTTCACCAACTCTTATATAAGTATTCATCTCTATAAAATAAAAGTGGTAGCTATTGTTTTTGCATATATTTTCTTAAATTTCGTTATTGTCATACATATGAACTGTAACTAAACTTTATTGACATTTTTGAAAAGGTGAACTTTGAAAATCATGCTGTTCCTTAACTTTTGGAGGTAGTGTATATTCTACCGGATGGGTTATAATTAAACATCCTTATAAACGCCATCCTACAGCACAAGCGGGTGAACGAAATGCAACGAAGTTTTGTATATGGGCTGGCTATACACGAGATGCGCTCACGGAATTTCGAAAAACAAATTTAGTTCCAAAATGTCCACCAGAGGGCGCATTTTTGAGAAAAACAGGAAATTTAACACAATAAACGACCAAAACAGATTCTAATTCAAAAGAAACAATATTAACATTTATTGACTATTTTCTGCTCACCTTATCATTGAAACAGATTAAGCAAAGGTAAGGGGAAAACAAAAACAATTAAGTTTGTAGAAACAAGAAAAGATTAGTACGAAATTGTACAAGAGGAGCAGTTGTTAATCGCGTCTAGGACGATGCAGGGAAAGGTGCTTCATGTGACCACCCTCGTTCAATTGGAAAATTTCAAATCAATGGACAATGTGTCCAACAGCAGATCGTAATTGATCAGTTGTGAGGCTTTGCACATGAAGCGTTATGGAGCTCTTTAAGTCATTCGACGTCGCAACACCTCCACGATACATGAGACTTTTTAAATAGGCCCATAACCAGAAATTTCACGGAGTTAGATCCGGCGAACGTGGTGGCCATGAATTAGGAAAGGAGCGACTAATAACACGTTCCTCTGTGAAGTATTGGAGCAATAGCACCTTCACGAACCCATGGATATGGGAAGGGGCGCACCATCCTCCACGAAAATGGTCGAGTAAGGACCCACCTTTGCTGTAGTTGCGGCACAACAATAGGCTGCAGCATGTCATGGTACCAACAGCCCGTAATGGAACATGTGACAGGCCCACGTTCACCAATTTTCTCAAAGAAGAATGACCCAAGGATGAATTTCGCTGTGAATCCACCCCAGACAGTGACCTTTGGAGACTGTAGGGGAATTTCAGTGTGGATCCAAGGATTTTCCATAGTCCAAATGCGAAATTCTGTGTGTTGACTGTCCCGTTGAGGTAGAAATGAGCCTCGTCGCTCCACAAAGTATTCAAAGGCCATGACAGATCAACAGTCATTCTGTTGAGAAAACTGACTGCGAAGGTGAGACGTTGTGGCTTGTCCCTATCAAGCAGCTCCTGGGTATGGCGATCTTGTGTGGGACGTAGAGCATTATGTTTCTGAATACTTTTCGGACGGTGCTGTAAGAATAGCCTGTCTGTCGAGAAACTGCACACGCGCTACTGCCCCCAAATTCTGATATCTGTGACTGTACATCAACAGCTGTTTTGACGGCATCAACAAGTACCGGTGTTGACAAGTACGGCATCAACAAGTACCGGTGACACGTTTACGGCCTCTCTCAGGTTGAACTCCTAATTTCCCCGTGTCTTCAGATCTCTTAATCATGGCCCGGTTACCTTTAGTAGACACTGTTTCAAGCCGTAGGTTCTTTCCAAGACGAAATTCACGAACTGCAGCAGAAGCATTCCCCATGTTTTTGTAAAACAGCTTCACCAATAACGTACGTTCTACTAAAGAGACCGTCATTAGTACAGCCGGAAACATCGACTTAAACATGACAACTGACAACGTCTGTAAACATTTTAATCCCTAGCCTGTTTTGCATATAGATTCCTCTTCTTCCCAAGCATGCAAATCTCGACATTATTTTCCTACAACTGGCAACGTTTCCCGGTTTTGAATTATGTTACTCATAATTCCGTTTATTGTGTTAAATTTCATGTTTTTCCCGAAAAGGCGACCTCTGGTGGACATTTTTTGAACTAAATTTTTTTTTTTTCGAAATTCTGTGAGCGCATCTCGCGTATAGACCATATACAAAATTTCGTTGCATTCCGTTCACCCGTTTGTTCTGTAGGATGCCGTTTATAGGGGAAGTTTAATTATAACCAGTCGTTGTATCTTCTGTCTTCGTGAAAAGTGTAAAAATACCAAAATTAAAATCGTCATTAAATATACTTAATGTTTTTGATTAGCTATATCACGAATTAAATGCATTTTTATTTGAATCCATCTAATTCAAAAGAAAAAAAAATAATAATATTTCTAAGAACTGCATTAGTTGGTCTTAGTAAACAGTTAATCCATAACAGACAGATTGAATTTGAAAGATAAATTTCTTACATTTTGCCGAATGGCAACAAACTGGGATGAAAACGCATTGACATGGGACGACTGAAAATCGCGTTTGGAGACTAATAGCCTTATAAAATTATTTCTATAGTGTAATTAGCGAGTTCACAGCAATTTAATGCAAAATCATAATGGTAAATAGTACTTGATACTTTTAAAATTTATTCTTTTTCTCTTATTGAAAATATTAACTTAAAAATAATTACTTATTCTTAATTTTTGTTTACTTGTACCGACTACCCCTTCGCAAATTTTTTGGCATCCCGTCTAAAATCGTGTGGAAATAAATCTTCCCTTACTTGCATGTGACTATACTCCCACTTATTTCAGTCAACCAGCTTCCATCTGCACCCAAAACCTCCTGCTCGACCAACAGGAAAGCTTCCTGCATACTGACTCCATCTCCACAGCCAGCCTCTCCTCAGACGAGCTTCGACATCCACTGCTGAAGCATCACGTTGCATCGACCTCCACGTTTTTCTACTGACCGTCCTGAAAAGCTAATAATAGCCTCTTGCAACCTTCAATTTTACAACTGTACTCCACAAAAAATTTTTCTTTTCATTAATATTTCAATGCTCGAAAACAAACTATTACTTAGATGGGGATAAGGCTTCCTGCTCAGGTTCCAGTAAGAAACGAACGTTTGTTCACAGATATCACTAATAGCCTTTTTGGTTCAAAATTCCGTGAAAAGGCTTCAAAATTCAAAATTTCTTTTCACCATCAATGAAAGATTAAATTGCAAAGGAATATTTCCCATACACATTCAATAGCTGCGTAATAGTGTCAGTTTACCTTATACAAAATATTAAATTCATTATAGTTTAATAACATCATTCGATTGCTTAAAATTGACGTTTCTTTCATTTCACTAGATCTAACAGCGATTGAACTAAGCACAATAGCTGGGAAAAATCGCTGACAGGAAAAAAAATATTGTCTTTGAAATAAATAACGATGTTCAAACTTCTGCATATGCAAACGTTTTCAGCGTTCATCCCTGAGAATGACAGTTGCGTTTTGTTGTAGGAGAGGGAGGGAAAGGGAGGGCGGATTTCTGTCGTTTGCGTTGGAAACAGGTGATTTTTTTCTTTTTATTTTCTCTCTCTGCCAGGAAAGGAAAAGGAACATCACATTCAGTTTATCTTCACGAAGCGCGGAAACAAGGTAAGCACTTCTCACGCTTTATCTTTTAATCTGCTTAAATACGTGTTGTTCTTGGATAATACAGTGGTATAGTGATCTGACAACTTTCGCTTTGAATTTTAATATGTGAATAATTCGTAGTTCGATTTGGAAGATAAACTTTTATCGTACTGCTGTTTTTTATACTTATGATACAGAGCAGGGTTCTCCAAACTTTTCCGGCCCCTCTTCACGAAGCTTCTAGAACCAAGTTAGTTCATCATAGTATGGTGATGTAATTATGATGAATAGGATACACATGTTTTTAAAAAGCCTGCGAGATATTTGGGATTGGATCTATACCGCTATGATAATACGAAGAGCCTTTTTTTTAGGGCTTTCATGTAGTTTCGCGTAGCATAAATGTCTTCAAACTATTTAAACAGCCGCAAAATTATTCATGTTGCAGAATATCAGAGATTTCTTCAGTTTGTAATGTAACTTTACTTTTAAACATGCTTTACCTTCCCGTGGTAACAATTCATCAGCCCATTTTTGCTTACAATTTGATCAAACTTTCGTTAATAAGTATTTCCTATTTCGGGCAAGTTTTGTGTGGAAAAAAAATTCGAATTAAAGTAAATCACAACGTATACAAAAAAATAAATAAATAAATAAATAAATAAAATAAAAATAAAAAAATAAAAAAAATTACAATTCAGAAAATTTTTGCGGAAAAACGTAGACTACTATTACGAAAGTAGATAAGATCACACATGAAACCTTTTTTCTAGGAAAAAGTGCAATGACAAAATTTTACTTCCTTATACGAAGTAAAATAAGTACTGTAATCTCGAAAAATTTCGGGTATCATATTTCAAAGAAAATATCCATTTTGACCGCTCTCAAATTCCTTTGAACTGTGTTTTTGCCTGATATCTGTACGTACGTGCAAAATAAAAGATTCTTTTTTCCACAGCCGATTGTAAAATGAATTTAAAATAAATATATTCAGAAGAGGTTCTTTCGTGACATCTGTACCACGAAAAAATCTCATACATACATATACGTACGTACGTACTTACGGGTAACTAAAAAATGGGTAGCCTCAAAACTTTGAAATTTTGTACATGGGACTGCTATAATATGTAATTGTGCTCCAGCCTTTTTGTTTGCAATCGGCAGCACCAAGCGCATATATACACAGAGAGACTAAGAAATTTAGAACCCTTTTTATACAAAGACCCCCCCCCCCCAAAAGTGAAATTCAGTACCAAAAAATTTCAGAATTTTCGGATGAACTGTTGTAATTAAAAAAAACTTTAGAATATTTCATCAGCTAATCTTGAATACAGAAACACATGGGTTTTCAAAAGGGGGCTGGTAAATTGAGTCTGATGTATCTTCCTCTTGATACGTTACATCGTATTTAATTGAATTGCTCTTATTTATTTATTTTCCTGGTCTTGGTATATTTTTTCACTTATTTATAATTTTTAGGTTTGAATTTCACATTTCTTTAATTCTTATTTTGCATATTTGTAGAATATTTTGAAATTTATTGCTACTGAATTTCATTTTTAGGTGTCTTTCTGTAAAATGGATTCTAAATTTCCTACCTTTTGTCTATACAGATCAATTTTTAGCAGCGGGTTGCTCGAAGATACCTTGAATAATCATGTTTTTCATAAAACTTTTTTTGTGATACTGTAATATATATACGCACTCTGTTACTCGGCTCGATGAGCTCAGTTTTTTCCCCTTATATGCTGGTAAATTGTGCATTTTTTTTTTCTTTTTTTTTTTGCTTTAAAAGGGATTGAATTATGTTGGCCTTTTGTTCGGTTAAGGTTTTTATGCCATTAGTTAATCTGAATGCAATAGTTGTAGAATTATCAATAATTTAAAAGTTAAGTGTACTAAGCCTACGGAAGCCACCATTTGTTTACATTTGAAATTTTTAGTAAAATAATGAAATCAGTCAGTTTGTGCATCAACTTCAGTGTTTTTTTGCCGAGTGGGACAAAAAGTAGACTTTCAGTTTTGTGCACCGATCAATCTGTCTTCCTGCTCGCTGGTCGGGATGTTTGTTTTTTTAGTAGAAAACCTAATTTTAATAGTACTTTTTTTTAACTGTTCTTGGTGTTTTATGCTTTTCTGTATTTTACAATTTTTAATAAAGATATTTTGAGGTTTTATGTATTTTTGCATTTGAAAGTGATGAACTGAATTAATTGAATGGGAAATACATCTCTAATGAAGTTCAAGGAAAGAAGTTTAAATGAAATGTAGCAAAGACTATGTATAATTTAATAAGCTGTACAAGGAAGTCATGTGGTGTCCCCATCATATTTTTAAATAGGTTCTTATTGTATTTCACTCACAGTAAATTTAGATACGATTGCATAATACTTATGGTATATTTTCTAATATAACTAGCATGACAGCTAATGTATTTGTTGATTAGTTGTTATATAAAACAGTTAATAAATATGTTGCCTTGCTTATTTAAAATTTTATAAAATTATTTAAAAAACTTTGGCGAACCGAACCAATAGTATTCACGAATCCGGCCTGTGGTCTGTAGTTTGGAGATCTGCGAATATAATTGGCATTTAATACATTTAATGAAGTAGATGCCGCTTAACTTGATCATGATTAATGTTATCATTTCGGTATTGTTATCAAATTACCAGAGCCGTAGCTAGAGTTTCCATCGCCCGGGGACAACTGAAGAATTTGCGCCCCTTTCTGTGTGCTAAGAATGGAAAACATTTCATTAAAAAATTTCGTAGCATCAATTTGGCGCCCCTTGGATGTAGCGCCCGGGGACAGATGTCCCCCTTGCCCCACCCTAGCTACGCCACTGCAAATTACCAAAGTCCCTCTTGTTTGTATACGAAAACATGGAAAATACATCGCTTATTAAGATCAACAATTCGGTTAATACGATCAAATTTGAATAATTTTTAATCTGAAGTAAAGTTGCCAAATTAAAAAAAAAAAAAAGAAATTTTTCAAATCAGGTCAAAACTGTGATTCTCAAATTTTTTTGCCGCATTCACCCTTTTCACCTCTTACGGAACTTGAAAAAATGCATTTATACATTTATCTAGATTTAAATAATTTCCTGATGTGTTTTATAAATTAAATAAGGAAAAATGTAGGAAATGTCCAATAAAACCAAAACTTGAGTGTAAGTAGTTTTTATAGTTTAGGTATTTTATTATAATGTTTCATAATTAAGTAGTTTCTATAGTTTTTTAATTAGTGAATAATAATTTTTTATATTTATGAAGTACTACTGAATACTTAATTGTTAAATAAAGGGCTGACCGCATTCTCCTTCCCTGAAACTATGAAATCCCCCCTAGGAGAAATTCCCCCTGGTTGAGAACCCCTTGTCAAACGTCAGATAAATACCGTAAAATAAAGCATTATGTCGCCAAACAGCTTGTTTTCGATTCTAATCAACCGTTTAAATTAGGCAAAACGCAACCTTAGTTTGGCTTTGATTTTGAATAAATCTATCAGTTTTAAAAAAGAATGATCAGATAGAGGTCTCTCTTGTGCAAGAACAAAGAATTCTGTAAATTTTTTCCCCAGGAACCTTACAGACTTTCTGAAAACATCTGCAGCAAGCTAAGGTTGCTTTTTTGCTTTATTTAAAATTTTACTTTAAAATGTTCTTATCCAGTGAGGGGGAGCCTTCCAAATATTAAGATTAAAAATATTAAGTTATTCCAAATATTAAGTTACATTAAAAATCAAATAATTTCTATAAAAGTTATGAATAGTTCATAAACAAGCCATCTTCCTATTTAAAATGCCATGAAAGTACCTATTTATATGTTTCTAGCTATATTTATAATTTATTCAATGGCAGGCACTAGCCACTATTAAGGCCGGAGGGTGTTGTCACTTTATTATGGAAACATCTAATATGTAGGCTACCGTGCCGTCTATGAAGGGGAAGACACTGCACATCCATGCCTTCTTCGGGATTCGAATCTGGCCCCCTTCGGTACGGCAGTCAGATTTACTAACTTTCCCGTCTAGACGGCAGTTATATTTATATTAAATTAGTTAAATTTCCTTGCTGTTTTGAAAGCTAATTTTCTCATCGCATATTTCTCATCGCATCTCATATTATCATTCGGTTAATGTTATCAAAATAACCGTGGAAAAATGTGACCGCGTTAATTTGCGCCAACTGTAAGTCATTTTATTGTATAAGACAAAAAATGAGCTTTTTAAAGCTCAAAAGAAGGAGAATTTTTCTCTGAAGAATAGAAAAATGCGTACTGATAATACTATTGACATAAATAAAGCATAGTAATTAGACAAAAAGGCTGTTAAAAATCTCAGTTAAAAGCTATTTAAAAGATTCATCTTAAAATACTCTGTTTTTTTAAAAAAAATGGGGGATGTCAGTCTTAATTTACACTTTTTATCTTAGGGACGTGCCAGTTTTAATTTATATGTTTTATCATAGCTATCTAGCATTTGCCTCTTCAAATCTAAACATGCTATCCATTTTTCGAATCGGGAATATTCGCTTTATTTTTTAAAGGCAAAACGTAAAAGTAATTTTTGGAAATTTAATTTAGTGTTATTTACCTTAAAAAGAGATGATCATTAGAGGCTAAGCGTTAAAGTCGATAAACACAGGTAGTTCGGTTCAAGGTTTGAATTCTGGCGAAAGGTTTGGCTGCGTGGACGTTTTCTTTGCTTTTCCCATGTGTAAAGTGTATGGGAGTCGGTTTGCTTTAAACTTACTACACGAAGGTATCCCTTCCCTTAGGCAGATAGTCCGCGAACGCTTTGCCATAATCAATTAAACCAAACCAAACCCTTAAAAAGACAAAAAAAAGTTGTGTAAGCAAGAGTGAGTCCAAGAGTAGATAGATAAGCTGCGAGTTCAAGGAAAGCATAAAAAACTCGAATCCTTTTAGATTTGTTTTTAAAGAATATCATTTCTTCTTTTTTATTTATTTATTTTCGGATTAAAAATAGCGTTCCAGTGGCGCTATCTAAGAAATAACTCAATAAAAGCGATAGATTGCATACTACAGCATTATCAATGCTTTGTACTTGGCCAGTTTCCTTTGCATTTATTAACACTACATGAAATTTTTTTTTCCCACAGTTCATCGGCTATGATGCGGGGCAAGGGGGACATTCGTGGAACCCTCTTGAACAAGGCGAAGGACCTCTTCAGCTTATGTGACCGCGAAGGGAAAGGCTATGCCACCAAAGAAGACCTAGAAGCGCTTCGCGAAGAACTGCCCTTACAACCAAATCAACTGGACTTGGTATTCGACGCTTTAGATGCCGATGGAGACGGGAAGCTTACTTTGCAAGAATTCACAGAGGGGTTCGGTAAACATAGTATTTTATATTGTTGTAAATATTTGAAAACACTATTTAATCCTTTTTGACTGCATTTTTGATTTTCTGTATTGCTGTGGCATTTTGTATTGTGTTATTTATTTAATTGATTTATTGATTTCAGAATGGTAATTTTATGGTTTATCATGTGTTTAATCTAATTTGTGGTTACGTGTTTTGTATTTAAGTTTTTATTTCTTATATAGAATTGTAGATGTCTTAATTATGAGTACAATGGCTTTAATAGAAAACTAGCTCACTTAGAAGGCGATATCGGCAATTTCGTCTCAGCCCCAGTCACTTGATGATATTTGGGGGTTTCTCGCCAGTTTCGCGATTTTCTAGAAGAGTTTTGAAAACATATTTTCGAAGCTTTACAATCGATTCTTCTAGAAGTTTCCCGAGAAAGAGTTTCCAACATATTATTTATATTAATAGAGTGAAACGATATACTGCAGACGAGCAGCATGGATTCCGGCAAGGACTATCTATCACACGCCAGCTCATCAAGATAATACAGTACATTGGTGCGGCCCTCCATAATAAACCCAATGCAGCCATCCTTATGTTAGACATGGTCAAAGCTTTTGATCGCGCCTGGCGCAAGGAACTAATTTATAAACTCGTAATGATGGATTTCTCCAGAGAAATCATTCGGGTTCGAGCTTCGTTTCCTGATAGCTGGACGTTTTCAATGCGACAGAGTGTCTGTAGCTTAAGTTCTTATCCGATCGTTGCAGGAGTCCCTTAAGGATCTATCCTTGGACTGCTGACCTATATCACTGACCCAAAAGTAATGTAAGAATGATCCAAATACTATGCTTGCATGTTATGCGGATGATACCGCCATAATTGCCAGATCAAAAAAGCCCAACCGTGCTCTCGAGAGAATACAAGAAACCGATCTAGAGATAGAAAACTGGTGTCAAAAATGGAGAGTGAAAAATCAGCCCGGAAAACCCCCAAATTCTCATTAATATGAAATTAAAACTAAAAATACCCTTGACTGCAACGTCACATTTTTTGGAAAACGGGTTCCAATAGTCAACGTTGTAAAATACCTTTTGAAGTGATCTTTAATAGATCCTTTACTTGGCCTGCGCATATTAATAGTGCTCGCAGAAAGGCCTATGAAATTATACTCCGAATTTACCCGCTTTTAGCAAAGGACTAAGGACTGAATCGGGGTCGGAAAAGGAGATATCCAGCCAAAAACCCTTACTATCCGGCCAAAAATTACTATGAATCTCCTGCCCGGGCAATAGATAGTTAAATCAAGAAACTGCAAGTCTGGCAGTATTAATAAGAAGAATTATCGCGAATATTCCTTATTGTATTCATCATGACTTTAAAGCAGACCAAAATCAAGTATGAAGCTGAATTTATTATAATATTTGAAAGCTGACTGAAAACGTCTTTAGAAAAGTTACAATAAATAGGATGGCAAACTTCGCCGCCATACTTAATTACGAAGTAATCGTGGATGACATGTTTGCTCGCCTTTAAGTTCCCTATATGCTTAGGCAGGTTGACTGTTAATATCGATTAATGACTTTTTAGTGTTTCATTACATTCTGAAATTATTACTATTCCCTTTTCTGACGAACAATTTCTGAATTTGCATTGGCAGCTGACTGTCCTCGGCTAACCAACAAGCAACAGCAGTGTACTGAATATGTAATCCGTACGCATATTATTTGAAGCTTGGGATTTCACCATAAAAAGTTCCTATTGGCCCTCTCATAGAGCTACTATTTTTTCCCAACATTTTGATGGGTAATATGATTATCTTCATTTTAATATAAAATTTTTAATTCGCAAAAATTAAACTTTGGGAAATTGAACTTGCACGTGTCACCTCCTTCAACGCTGATTAGTTACCACCGGCTGACTCCACCTATCACGGCCCGCAAAAATGTATAAATATCACTCGAGTCCGGATTTTGAGCTCACTGGCATTATGTGTCTCTCTTTTCTAAATGTTCTGTTCTCCCCGTCGTGGAAATGTGTTACGTAAATTTCATTTTCAGGCTCCGAAAGGGCCACCTTGAATCTCTGGGAAGTATTACTCCGGTTATAGAAACCCAGAATATAGTAGGATCACAGTATCGAAAATTCAGATGTGAATCAGTTGCGAATAGGCCGTGAAACTTGTGCACCCTTATGGCATCTATTTGTAAGATCCGAAATACATAGGGTAAAATATCCAATAATCACGGCATATAGAGGAACTTAAGAGTCTGAAAATTTTCAGTTGCGAATCGGCTGTGAGAGTTATAGAGCTTTATGATTTATTTCGTGCTTTAAAAAAGAATTGCTGGATATCCGCGTTCTCCTTAAGTTATTTTCATCCATTAATGTGTTGTGTGTGTTATGTTACTGATTGTGCTTATTTTTCTAATAAATCTTTTATTTTTTCCGTTTTATCCTTACTTAAAGAAATATTAATGATCCTGTACTTCGCAACATTATATACAAACTTACATAGGTAACATAAAGATTCTTCATTATTAATACCAGAAACTAGCATTCATGTTGATTTTATAGTTCATCTTCTCTTTCTGCACGTCTGCGAGATAAGAGTTTTCTTTTACGCTACCTTTTAACTGTCTTTTATAATTTCCAGGAATGTTCTTGGGCATTGATACGCTACCTCGCAACTGCTGGGAATCCGAACGTCTGCAGGAGAACGAAGACGAAGACGAAATGCTCGAAGAGCTCCTGGACCATCTCGGTGCTCGAAATCTATTTACTGAGTAAGGAATATTTAATTATTATTATCTAATCAAGCGGTACTGAAAGATATTTTATGATATTAACTTCATCTTGAGACAGTCCTTGTACTAAGTACTGAAAAATGGTAATCAGATTTTTACTCGTATATTATTTTTTCTCTTTTTTAAGACTTGCTTGTTACAAAATAAATATAATCAAATATTTCTTGTAATAAAATAATTTATTCTTAAAGTGTTAATCAGTAACTCACATAATAATTACAAAATTGGTATTATCAAAATATTTCTTGCAATAAAATAATTTATTCCCAAAGTGTTAATCAGTAACTCACATAATAATTCAGATGCTCGAAAGTTGTGTTGAGATGCATTGGGAGATGTTACAGTTTATGTAGCTGGCCACGAGAGGGCGCAGCGTTTTTTACTGTTAGCTTGTTATATTTTTCTTACCGCATTGCGGATTTTTGAGATAGATGTAGTGGCAACCAGAAAAACATGATGAATGTTCTAATGTAAGCATACATTTCTTGTACATAGCTGTAAATAAAGCTTCTGTGTGAAAAAAATGAAAAGGAATTCCAAGCGTTCCTGGGATATTCATTAAGAAAGGTAAGCAAAATTTCACTTATCGATGTTATTAAATGTAAATAATAAGAATAAGAAAAAAGATCATAAGTTGCAACATGGTGCCGAAATTCCGAGATAACAGGATCTTTAGATATATTGTGATTTAAGTATTTATTATTGTTCGATAGTGATTGAATATTGATTATTAAGATGGATAAGTTAAAGCACTAAAAAAAGAAGCGAGGAATGTTAAGAGATCAGTAACAAGATTGATAGAAAATGGAAAAGGAAATAGAATCGGAATATTAAATTGATTTATTAGAAAATGTTTATCATCTTAAATGAAAATGAAAACGATATACTGATATTGAACACTGAAATCGAATCTATCCTAACAGATGAAAAAGAGTACGAACTGAAATACAGGATAGTTGGACTATAAAAATAAAATTACCTTGTGTAAATCGAAGATAGTAGAAATTTAGAAAAAAATGTGTTAAATAATGAGTTGCCATCTAATTGCTACTATAGATACGGTAGGACACAAATACAAATGGCGCTAAACTCCGAAACTAACCATAATAAAAATTAAAGGCGAAATATGAATTTCAAAGTTTTTGGGCTCAATACATCTGCTACATAATAAATTCTGCTTTAAAGGAAGTAGAAAATTTAATTACTCACATCTTTACTAACGGACACAGCTTTAATGTCAATAAAGGGATTACCGTTAGTTGCCGAAAATTATGCTAAGGCAATAAATATTCTGAAAGAAAGGTTTGGTAGAAAGGACATTTTAATAAATGCACATATGAATCGTCTGCTGAATTTAAAGCCAGTTAAAAAATAGATGATATTAAAACATTACGTAACTTATATGATAGCTTAGAAATTGAAATTAGAAGCCTTGATTCCCTTAACGTTACTTCGAATTCTTACAGCTATTGTTGTGCCACTGTTAATGAGGATACTTCCTATCGAATTGGTTTTAGAGTTTAATCGATCTTTAACCGTGATACAGAAACCACAGTGACTAACCATTTTGGAATTTCTGAAGAAGGAAGTTGAAAGCAGAGAGGAGTACGTTTTCCAAACATCGCCAAACTATTCCGAGTTTAACATTAGAACCGAACAACATAAACATCAATCGCGAGACCTTATTAAAAGTGAGAATATCATACTGCTTTCAAAAACAAACATTTTGTTCCAGCAGTTGCGTCGTTGAATACGAATACATCAACAGCCGATTGTAATTTTGTGGGGAGATAGAAAATGAATCTTTAAAACATTCTACTTCAAATTGCGCAATTCCAATTGAGGAAAAAAGAAAAAATCTAAATTGGCTAACAGATGCTATTATGCTTTCGTAAGTCTCATACATCTGCCCGTTGCAGCTCGAATATACGCTGATTTTTATGTTCATTAAGGCATAATACTATTTTACATGATAATAAATTTGAAAATAAACGGGAAAGTAAAGGTGAGCTTAAAACAGACACAGTGGTGGCGGTCAATTCGGAAAAAGATAACAAAATAGGGTTTATTTACAAACTGCAATGCAATAGCTTTAGGTCAGAATAGAAGAAAAAATGTAAGACTCATTTTCGATTCTGCCTCTCATAATCTCTTTCATCCTGACAGAAGTATCAAAACAATTAAAATTAAGTGTTGTGGGGAAAGAAGAAACTTCAGATTTACACCTTCGGCTCTACTGAGCCTACAGTTAAAAGGCTAAAAAAGGTTAAGGTTATTCTTAAAGATATATGTGGACCTGGGAAAATAATAATTGAAGCTCTTGAAACTCCAGAAATTAATCAAGCTCTTTGGTATACCAGGAAAGGAAATACTTAATTATTGTAAGGAAAATTCGATAAAGACTTGCTGATGCTACAGATATAGGTGTCCATAACTCTCAAATATCAGTATTAATTGGTAATGATTATTACTGGAAAATAGTCACTGGAAAGTTTTTTTAAAAGATTATCAAAGGGTCTTTTGCCTCTGAAACCTTATTTGGTTACACTATAAGTGGAACTGAAGCATTAAGTAATGTTTCTACACCTTCATTCCGGAATTACGGTAATGAATGTTGTTGAGGACATACTTCACATCCACATGATTTTGGAAATTAGTGCTGCTCAAAAAAGGATTAATGGGATTTAGATGCAATTGGAATACTTCACTATACAAGCAAATGAAAATGACACTGAAGGTTATGCGGAGATTTGAAGAAACGACTGAATATAAAACCAATCGTTATGAAGTTTCATTACCTTGGAAGGACAATTTCAACAAAATGGGTAGTAATTCATAACATGGCCTTAAACAGATGGAAACAGTTTACTTAGAAGGTTTAAGAAAAATCCTGAAATTTATGACAAGTATTCAAGGGGTAATTGAAGATTATCTAAATAAAGGAATAGCTGAAAAGGCTCCGAAGAATTCTGAAGAAAACATCTATTATTTGCCACACCATTGTGTAATCAGAGAAGATCACGATTCTACAAAATTAAGGGTCGTATTTGATGCTTCCTCGCATACTCATTACAGTCTATCTTTAAATGATTGCTTACATTCAGGACCAAATTTAAACCCTTGAATTATTAGATTTGCTAATTAAATTTCGTCAACACAAAATAGCATTTGCTGCAGATGTCGAAGCTGCTTTTCTACAAATTCTGTTGAAGCCTGAGGCCAGAAATGCAGTAAGATTTCTTTGGAACTTGAAAGGAAAAAGGAGCAACCGACGATTTTAAGAATGACTCGTGTAATAACGTCTAAAGTAAAAAAGCTAGCGCCCTTTTTTACGAGCAGGGCGCAAGCTTTAAAGCATCACGATTACTTTTAGCTTGAAAGTTGAAAGCACAATATTCGAAGATCTGTCAAGCTTCTTAGAAGAAAACTATTTACGTAGATGATTTGATTCATGGTACAGATGATGAAGAAGAAGCTGCAGAAATTTATGAAAGATGTGAAAAGGAATTTATGATGCTTGCTAGTTTCAATATGAGAAAGTGGAGGATCAATAACGCCCAATTACATGCGATTTGGAATGCGGCTGAAAATACAAAGCTTAATGGAAGACGGAATGAATAGCACTTTGTTAGGATATGTTTGGAATCATGAAGCAGATAAACTGAAATTTCGAATCAAAGATGTATTACATTGGGTCAAGGCTGATCCGACAAAATGGAAACAATTTGTACGAAATATGTGTCTAGAAATACAAGAGAAAACTGATCCAGATTGGTGGAATTATTGTCCCAGCCATGAGAATCCTTCGGACTTATTGACGAGAGGACAGAAGGTAGAAACCCTTTCAAAAAATGAGCTGTGGTGGTATGGCCCACCTTGGCTTGTCAAAGATAACAACGTTTGGCCCAGATCTTCGAGAAATTTTAAGGAAGATGATGATAAAATAACAAATTCTGAGAAACGAAAAGGAAAAGAAGCAAGAAATTTTAACAGCAAACTGTATTGTTGAAAATATCATTCCTATCGAGAACTTTAGTGACATAAAAAAGGTATATAGAATAACATTTTATGTTTTCAGATTATCAATAATTTGAAAACCCCAAACTAAGAAGCATTGGACCTGTAAGGCTGAAGAGATGAAGAAGCAGAGAATTTCTGGATCAAGAAAACTCAGGAAGAAAATTTTAGGAAGAAATAAGGAAATTAAAGATGAAACAATGAAACAAAGCATACATAGTTCGAAAATATTTACATTAAATCCATTTGTAGACTCAAATGAAATACTCAGAGTAGGAGGAAGGCTTCAAAATGCTGGGTTAAGCTATAATCAAACATACCCAGCAATACTACCTGAGAAGTCTTATTTCACAGATCATATCATTAAAGATTGTCACGAAATGCAAGCACACGCTGGTGTAGCTGAAACTTTAACTCAAATTAGGGAAAAATTTTGGATACTTAAGGGTCGGCAGCGTGTAAAGAGTAATATTAACAAATGTGTGATTTGCTACGGATTTAAAGCTAAGCCACTAAGTCAGGATATCGCTCCTTTACCAATCGAAAGAATAACAGAGGCAAATCCCTTAGAAGTTGTAGGACTTGATTTTGCTGGTCCTATGAGTACAAAGGATGAAACTGGGAAAGCTTATATTGCTCTGTATACATGCGCTGTAACCAGAGCAGTGCATCTGGAACTTGTGTCTAGCCAAACAGCAAACAATTTTCTTCTATCCTTTAGAAGATTTATTTCAAGAAGAGGAGTATGTCGAATAATATATTCAGACAATGCAAAAACCTTCAAAAGAGCAGGATTTACAAAAACTATGGAATACCATCAAGGACACAGAAGTCACTGTCCGTTTAGCTAATGGAATTCATCTTCGTCGTCCTGTGCAGTTATTGTACCCATTAGAAATGACTTGAACTCTTTGAACTGAATACAATGAACTTAAATTGCGAACACTGCATCTATGAACATTTTAAACTTGTAGAAAATTGAAAACATTT